CTTAGCAACATATAAATGTTAAAGTCGATATGGCAGTTTGGTAAGATGAGATGGTAGTCAACTTCTAACGTGTTAGGAATAGTTAACAGTTAATTATGATAGGAGAAGAACCAACTCGTCCACGCTATTTTACGCCAAATGAAGTATCCGTGCATAATACAGCCAGTGATATATGGGTTTCATTTCTGGGACATGTTTATGACTTAACCAAGCTTGTTGAAGAATATAGCGGTACGTTGGCGTAGAACGTTTATAGTCTTCTCATGAGTAGAGCATTTTACTGCTATACTGAAAAGTAACAATTTTTAATAATCTGAAAAGTTTAGTTTAATATCTTTAGTAATAGTACATATCTTATCTTCCGAAATTTTTGCTCAAACTCTCCTACTCTTATCTGTAAACTATTTTGATCTAGTTTAGGTGATGTATTATTAAAACCAATTATCGATGTAGCTGGATTAGATATCTCACATTGGTTTGACCCGAAAACACATAACGTACGTATATAACTCACATTATTCGAGTACAACAACGCTATTTAGTCATGAGCTTCGTAACCCGTTGCAAATTTTATCATTGTAGCTCTACCGATAGATGAAATATTTAAGTAAAGGTTTATAGTATTCTTATGTTTGCATTAGTCATTTATGAATTTTTCTAATTTTTGGTTAACTCAAATATTTTCTCTATTCTTGTTTTAGATTCGTCAATACATTGATCCTGTCACTCATTGCTTATTACCCTATACTCCCACTGGCCGTTTCGTTCATATAGCTCCTTCTTATCCGTCAAGTAATTTTGCCAATGATTTTGGTATACCATGGTGGAGAGATGATAAATACAAAATTGGTGTTTTATCAAAAAAAGTTCGTCTAATTCGGATTTTAAATGTTTTGACACTTCAAGATCAAATTATTGAAGTATGTTTCACGAAAAATCATTTGTTTTGTTATATGAGTAGTGTTAGTGGTTTTGTTTCTAGGTATGTATGGAAGAAAATATGCATGAAATTCTCAATCGATATTTGAGACATAATTCACATGCGAACAGTTATACATGGAAATATGATGGACGAGTGTTAGATATGGAGAAAACGTTGGATGGAAATGGTATAGTCGATGATGATATGGATTTTGAACGATTAAAAATGAGAGATGATACATATTTACAATCAATTATTTTATATTACAATGATGATTTGACAGAGGATTAGGAAGATTTTGTAAAACTTTTCAACAGTTTTGTACTACTTATTTCGAATATTTTTTATACTCTAAGATTTTTGCCAACAGTGACCTTATCCTTCGGCAAAAATAAAGTTTATGTTTTTTCAGAGATATTGTTTTTCTTTGAAGTGAATTCATAAGAATTCATTATAAGACTGTGTTTGAAGTAAATCATCGCAGTGTTACATTAACGTCATCCTACTTCGAAAACAGTTAAAGAAAACAATGTCTTTGTATTTAAGACATCCTTGTCCTTCAAGAATAATCAGAGTAAGAACATAAACCGCAGTACTACTCGGTCTGTATAGACTTTCCACCATACGATATTCATCTCAACCGCTGTTTACATCCTGGAAATTTACCATTTGCCTAATCTTCGATAAATAATCATTCTGTTGAAAGCAAATAATATTAAGGAGATGAACGATCATATTTTCAGTAAAGTTGGATGGGGTACAAGTTGAGCTAGTATTAACCGTTTTTAAGATCATTAACTTAATCATGTAAATTAGCATGTTGTAAGTTAAAAGAACAGCTTGCCACGTTTTCTACGTCAACTTTTCATAAATAAGTGACGGGAGAAAATTAATATGTGCACTTCTTATACTTTGTTTAACCACAAGTATCCGTAGTTTCTCCATTTTTTCCTTTGGTTAGATACGTACATTGACAAACGAATTGTAGAACATAGATTTGTCAAACAATAGTCGCTGTTAAACAATGGAAAAGATTCCATAATCCGTCAGAATAATATAAGAAACAATTTCAAATCTTTCACAAGCTGTTAATTTGTATGACAATTATTTATGTGTACGATTAATTGATGCCCAATATTTTGAAATTTAAATCAAAAGGAAAACTTTAGACGCTATACTCCACTACTTACTTCCAGTTGCCTTCGACAGATTAGGCTCTCCTCTTCAAGTTGCGAAAAAGATATACCTCTGCGACCATTTTTTCATCAAAATTTGTAGGTTATGATGTTCAGACGTTACGTTGTTCCTTTAGAGAATAACATAGAAGTTTTTCAGAACTGTTCATCAACAGCTGAAATCTTTTATACTGTCTTTGCCGACACACACTAATTCGATGTTGTATTTTAAATAACTTTTTAAAATCTTTAATTCGAATAGAATCTAACGTGTCTTTAGCTTGATAAAAAGAGAAAAAAAAATTGATTTTTTTTCTACCGTTTTTCATCACATTTCATACTAGGTACGCATCGATTAATGATCGATATCAGGCATTCAGGAAAATCGTTTTGAATCGATTATAAAATATCTCTTAGAGCTGTCAAAGGTCTCATTTTGAAGAGAAATGTTTACTCTACAAAACTGAAACGTTAGAAAAGTTTTATGTGTAGAGAAAATATAGTAAATCGAAAATGCACTAGAATCGATTTTTCGCGCTTTTGCATATTTTTGAATACCTATAGGTCTGTTTAGTGAAGTTAATTTTTGCAGTTTGTCTGCAAAGAGCAAAATCGTGTGTTCGATCCTAGTTTCGTGCAAGGATTGATTTTGTGTTTTGATAGTTTAAGTTTCAGAATGATATAATGGGAATTTATATTCTCGATCTGGGTCTGGTTCATGCTTAAACCATATTTCTGTTACAAATAATATAACAAATCTTTCATACGTTTCAGTTTCGTAGAGCAAACATTTCCCTTCAAAATGAGACCATTGACAGCTCTAAGAAATATCGATTCAAAACGATTTTTCTGCATGCTCTAACATCGATTATTAATCGATGCATTACCTACTTCATACGATATTTTAAAAAACAAGTTATGGATTTATCTGTGCACTTGATAAGAATTTGGCGACATCTGGACCGTGTAAGAATGGGTGAAGCTATGTGCCAGTAACTCTCTTCAGTTTCTTGAGAGACGATAAAGCCGATGTGATAACAATTGAAAGTTTATACCAACCAACAATTAGAAATCGTGTTCATTTTTTTTATCACTATATTTTCAAAGAATCAGTATTTTTCTTGCATAAAGCTACAATCTACCAACGAAATCAAAAAATATCTTCTATAGAGACAAAACGAAAATAAAGAAACCATCTTGGTTAAGCTAAGAAAATGACATCAAAAATATGTTTTTCAAAAAAAAAAGAAATACGTAAAGAAAAAACGAGTTTTTGATATGTTTTCTACTGTTCGAATACTGGCGCACACTGATATTTCCAAATAGGTTGTACCTTATGTTTAACAATCGAATCAATTAACCATTTTGGGAGAAAACTTGGGAAAAAGTTGAAGAATTCTCGTCTTTACTAGTACTTCGCTAAACACAATGCAGAAAAATGAACAGAAACTCGCTAAGAAATACTTCTCAAATGTGAGATTTTCCGTAAATCCGAAAGAACTAACAAACCTGAAACGTGCTGAATCGCGGAAAGACAGAAAGCAGGAAAAATTGTGTGAAGTGCAGGAAATTAAGTACCTAAATTCGTGATAGATAATCCTTATAAAGAGGTATAAGCATGCCCAAAGTTTCAAACAATCATTCAGAAAACGCAAAGAAAGCCCTCAAATCACAAGCGGTGGGAAGTCTCCGGCTAAGATTGGTGTTCAGCTTCGGTAAATGGATTGTGACAGCTCTCAAACGATTCAGCGAGAACCGTCGACAGCAACCACTCTAAATAAAATCTCTTTTCTAACGAAGTATGCGAACTTTCAGTACTATACAGCTCTAAACTTAAGCAAAGCCGGTTATTTTCAAAGTTTATTTAATTGTCTCCCTTCTTTAGAATTTTTTATTATTTAATTTATTATTTTTTATTATATTAAAACTTCCTATTATTTGCTCTTACTGTTCATCAAAGGCATTAAAAACACTGCTTCTTTAATCAAAAAAAGGAAATTTTTTAAACGACTCCTGGTCAATCCATCATCTTGTCTATAGGGTTAATCTACTGAAAAATTCCTCATTACACTTCCTCACTAGTAGAGGCCTGCGGGACCGAACTTTTTTGGTCCCGGTCCCATGAAGAAAAAGAATTTTGGTCCCGGTCCTGTGGTCCAGTAAATATTTTTTCAAAGTAGCGCTGATAGTTTGAAAGTCAGCGCGTTGTAATGCGGCTCGTGGAGCATCATGCGTGGGCGGTATTAATTGAAGACTTTTAGAATTTACTATGAGTTCTTTCTCGCAGAACGAACGCCTACATACAAACAAGCACGGAAACTAAGAAATTCTTATGCTTCATACAAGACTATTTTGAAAAAAACCTGATCCCGGTCACATTAAAAGTCCTGGGGGATCAGGATCATTGCGCAGGACTGGGACCGTCCCGCAGATCTCTAGTTCCCGATCGTGGTCCCGTAGAAAGGATTTTTCTGGGTCCTGTAAAAAGTCCCGTTGAGGCTGGGACCGTCTCGCAGACCTCTACTCACTAGATTATCTTAACCGTAACTTTTTTGCTACTGTCGCTTCGGTAGAAGTGTCAATAGTTTCCTGGTGCTAGTCCGAGAATGTCAATAGCTCTATCTTATTTTATTTTAAAGTAAAAAATATACCACTTTGTTTTTTGTGTAGTTTAATGCAAAAAATCGTTAGTGTCGTTGCTTGCGTTGATAATTATGAACATGAGTCGCTAGTTTCCATACGTTATTGTAGCACTACAAGAGAATTAATAACGTTTTGAGAAGTAGTAAAATTAATGAAGAGGTGAATGTATTTCCAGACATAGAGAAATATACTATAGAATATCTACTCTGCTTGCGTGAACGCCAACTATGGTTTAAATAACGTTACTTAGCAACATATAAATGTTAAAGTCGATATGGCAGTTTGGTAAGATGAGATGGTAGTCAACTTCTAACGTGTTAGGAATAGTTAACAGTTAATTATGATAGGAGAAGAACCAACTCGTCCACGCTATTTTACGCCAAATGAAGTATCCGTGCATAATACAGCCAGTGATATATGGGTTTCATTTCTGGGACATGTTTATGACTTAACCAAGCTTGTTGAAGAATATAGCGGTACGTTGGCGTAGAACGTTTATAGTCTTCTCATGAGTAGAGCATTTTACTGCTATACTGAAAAGTAACAATTTTTAATAATCTGAAAAGTTTAGTTTAATATCTTTAGTAATAGTACATATCTTATCTTCCGAAATTTTTGCTCAAACTCTCCTACTCTTATCTGTAAACTATTTTGATCTAGTTTAGGTGATGTATTATTAAAACCAATTATCGATGTAGCTGGATTAGATATCTCACATTGGTTTGACCCGAAAACACATAACGTACGTATATAACTCACATTATTCGAGTACAACAACGCTATTTAGTCATGAGCTTCGTAACCCGTTGCAAATTTTATCATTGTAGCTCTACCGATAGATGAAATATTTAAGTAAAGGTTTATAGTATTCTTATGTTTGCATTAGTCATTTATGAATTTTTCTAATTTTTGGTTAACTCAAATATTTTCTCTATTCTTGTTTTAGATTCGTCAATACATTGATCCTGTCACTCATTGCTTATTACCCTATACTCCCACTGGCCGTTTCGTTCATATAGCTCCTTCTTATCCGTCAAGTAATTTTGCCAATGATTTTGGTATACCATGGTGGAGAGATGATAAATACAAAATTGGTGTTTTATCAAAAAAAGTTCGTCTAATTCGGATTTTAAATGTTTTGACACTTCAAGATCAAATTATTGAAGTATGTTTCACGAAAAATCATTTGTTTTGTTATATGAGTAGTGTTAGTGGTTTTGTTTCTAGGTATGTATGGAAGAAAATATGCATGAAATTCTCAATCGATATTTGAGACATAATTCACATGCGAACAGTTATACATGGAAATATGATGGACGAGTGTTAGATATGGAGAAAACGTTGGATGGAAATGGTATAGTCGATGATGATATGGATTTTGAACGATTAAAAATGAGAGATGATACATATTTACAATCAATTATTTTATATTACAATGATGATTTGACAGAGGATTAGGAAGATTTTGTAAAACTTTTCAACAGTTTTGTACTACTTATTTCGAATATTTTTTATACTCTAAGATTTTTGCCAACAGTGACCTTATCCTTCGGCAAAAATAAAGTTTATGTTTTTTCAGAGATATTGTTTTTCTTTGAAGTGAATTCATAAGAATTCATTATAAGACTGTGTTTGAAGTAAATCATCGCAGTGTTACATTAACGTCATCCTACTTCGAAAACAGTTAAAGAAAACAATGTCTTTGTATTTAAGACATCCTTGTCCTTCAAGAATAATCAGAGTAAGAACATAAACCGCAGTACTACTCGGTCTGTATAGACTTTCCACCATACGATATTCATCTCAACCGCTGTTTACATCCTGGAAATTTACCATTTGCCTAATCTTCGATAAATAATCATTCTGTTGAAAGCAAATAATATTAAGGAGATGAACGATCATATTTTCAGTAAAGTTGGATGGGGTACAAGTTGAGCTAGTATTAACCGTTTTTAAGATCATTAACTTAATCATGTAAATTAGCATGTTGTAAGTTAAAAGAACAGCTTGCCACGTTTTCTACGTCAACTTTTCATAAATAAGTGACGGGAGAAAATTAATATGTGCACTTCTTATACTTTGTTTAACCACAAGTATCCGTAGTTTCTCCATTTTTTCCTTTGGTTAGATACGTACATTGACAAACGAATTGTAGAACATAGATTTGTCAAACAATAGTCGCTGTTAAACAATGGAAAAGATTCCATAATCCGTCAGAATAATATAAGAAACAATTTCAAATCTTTCACAAGCTGTTAATTTGTATGACAATTATTTATGTGTACGATTAATTGATGCCCAATATTTTGAAATTTAAATCAAAAGGAAAACTTTAGACGCTATACTCCACTACTTACTTCCAGTTGCCTTCGACAGATTAGGCTCTCCTCTTCAAGTTGCGAAAAAGATATACCTCTGCGACCATTTTTTCATCAAAATTTGTAGGTTATGATGTTCAGACGTTACGTTGTTCCTTTAGAGAATAACATAGAAGTTTTTCAGAACTGTTCATCAACAGCTGAAATCTTTTATACTGTCTTTGCCGACACACACTAATTCGATGTTGTATTTTAAATAACTTTTTAAAATCTTTAATTCGAATAGAATCTAACGTGTCTTTAGCTTGATAAAAAGAGAAAAAAAAATTGATTTTTTTTCTACCGTTTTTCATCACATTTCATACTAGGTACGCATCGATTAATGATCGATATCAGGCATTCAGGAAAATCGTTTTGAATCGATTATAAAATATCTCTTAGAGCTGTCAAAGGTCTCATTTTGAAGAGAAATGTTTACTCTACAAAACTGAAACGTTAGAAAAGTTTTATGTGTAGAGAAAATATAGTAAATCGAAAATGCACTAGAATCGATTTTTCGCGCTTTTGCATATTTTTGAATACCTATAGGTCTGTTTAGTGAAGTTAATTTTTGCAGTTTGTCTGCAAAGAGCAAAATCGTGTGTTCGATCCTAGTTTCGTGCAAGGATTGATTTTGTGTTTTGATAGTTTAAGTTTCAGAATGATATAATGGGAATTTATATTCTCGATCTGGGTCTGGTTCATGCTTAAACCATATTTCTGTTACAAATAATATAACAAATCTTTCATACGTTTCAGTTTCGTAGAGCAAACATTTCCCTTCAAAATGAGACCATTGACAGCTCTAAGAAATATCGATTCAAAACGATTTTTCTGCATGCTCTAACATCGATTATTAATCGATGCATTACCTACTTCATACGATATTTTAAAAAACAAGTTATGGATTTATCTGTGCACTTGATAAGAATTTGGCGACATCTGGACCGTGTAAGAATGGGTGAAGCTATGTGCCAGTAACTCTCTTCAGTTTCTTGAGAGACGATAAAGCCGATGTGATAACAATTGAAAGTTTATACCAACCAACAATTAGAAATCGTGTTCATTTTTTTTATCACTATATTTTCAAAGAATCAGTATTTTTCTTGCATAAAGCTACAATCTACCAACGAAATCAAAAAATATCTTCTATAGAGACAAAACGAAAATAAAGAAACCATCTTGGTTAAGCTAAGAAAATGACATCAAAAATATGTTTTTCAAAAAAAAAAGAAATACGTAAAGAAAAAACGAGTTTTTGATATGTTTTCTACTGTTCGAATACTGGCGCACACTGATATTTCCAAATAGGTTGTACCTTATGTTTAACAATCGAATCAATTAACCATTTTGGATGTAAATAATGTATTCCTTGTTCAATACCATTTTTATATGCTTGCTGATCGTTTATTAATTCATCTTCAGTTAATTCAATACATAATCGTTCAGATGCTGTTCTGGGAAATGGATTATCTTGAACATATGTTGCACCATTTGACCAGACTAATTCACTTAAACCATCAACATTAATTCCCATGTAACCAGGTGATGATATTTTAACTAAAAATAATCAGGAATAAAGATTTTAGCCATATCACAAACTCATCTATTCTCTAACCTAAAAAATACTTACCAAAAATATTCACAGGAAACAATAAATTCCTTTTATTCAACCTTGATGTACGTGGTCCATTATGTTGAGATGAAATTAATGTATCACCATGAATTTCATAATCTTCATAGTTAATTATACTTTCTTGTTTTAAACAATCAATAATCCATCGATATGAAACAACGTAAAGATGACGTGTTATTGCTCTAATCACATTTTTTGTTAATGTACAGACAAGTAGTTGATCATCAAGTTCATCCGTTACTAAATGTGTTGTTGTTTCATCAATAATATCCGACATCGAATTCAATATTTTAAATTTTTTTATAAACTGTTCAACTTTTGACTAAAAAAATATAAAGAAAATGTTATACATACACTTCATGATACTAATGACATATTTTATTCAAAACGAGTATTTTAAATTGTTAGGTACTTACCATTTGTTCAGTATTTAGATTACTTATTGATATGACCATTTGTTGTTGTTCAACTTTCACAATCATTTTATCATGATTAACCATTCTTGTTCTTGTCAAATGACTTGGCAATTGATCAGCAAATCTGGCAGGAAATGTTCGAAATGGTAAATCAGGTTCTTCTAGTGAATACAATACAAAAATTCTTTTAAATATCATTTATAGTAGACATCGACTTACGTTTTGAATGTGAACTACCAGCTTTGGGCAACATGTCGAATTCGCTGTCTTCTAAATAAAGATGAAAAAATTGATAACATAGGTTTATAACAATTGAGAAAACTTACCACCACTGACATCAATTTCTTCATTGTAAGCATTCCAACCACATTGAACTGGTGCTGAATTAATAATCGGTAATGAACCAATTATTTCTTAAAAATAAAGAAAAAATTCTAGCAAATTCATTCGATAAATGAGGAGAGTTGGAGAGAGAGAACAACGAGTATGCAGAAAGTACAATATTTACAAGAAATTGATATATAATCTATGTTTACCATTACCTTCGTGATCATCATCTTGTAATTCAGTAGTCGATGTTGTTGTCTGTATTTTAGTGGTTTTTTCTTTATAACGTTCAAAACTAAACCAGTTGCCTACTTGCGTAATAGTCATATTGGCTTTTTTGGCTAATATTTTTTTTTCATCTGGTGTTGGATATGGATTTGTGTGATGTTTTTCATACCATTTTTTTAATGGTTCTAAAATAAGTAAGCTTTCGTTCGATAAAAAATTTGTAAAATAAGAATAACAATATAGACACTTCCATGGCAATGAGAACTATTACAGATACATACCATAATTACGATGTTCATTTGTTGATTGTTTCGAACGACTTGACTTTGGATAACACTCTCCAATTTCATTTTGTATAACACTCTGATTTCCTTTATATTTAGGTGAACATGTTAGTTTTCGTTTCTCTTGAATATTGTAACGACGTTTTAAAGATAGGGGTTGAACAGCCACATGTTTTTTGTCTTCCGTAAAATGTGCACAGCATAAACATCGTCTTTTACTGGTTCATCAACATTTGTCTCACTTATTTTGTCAAGTGTTCTTAGTGTTTCAGCTGAATTAAGTGTTTCTTCCATTGTACCATAAATAAGCTGACTGGAAGCTGGTAAGCCAAGTGAATCATCCATTATCTGGAAAAAATAGATCTGAAACGAACAATATGGTGCAGTTTAAGGATAGTGTTCAACTTTTCGTTACTCACAAAACACTTGATAATGCAAAGGTACATGACAAAAGTGAATAATAAAGTAATAAAGAAAAAAATGAGATACACATGTTTAATCTTCTATTTCCACAAGCAGCAAAACATTTTTTTGAATAACAATAAACTTTTTTTATAAACAAATAAATAGTAAAACAAATTTTTATATTACTTATCAAGTTGAATGCCTTTGTTCAATTTGTGTCCCAATGAAAAATATATTACTTTTGCTATTAAATAAAACCAGTCATTAAATATCATGTTTGCAGAACACTTCGTCAAGAACGAAATTTAAGCTAAATATTACTTCTGTTAATTTTCGACTATTCTTCAATAGTTTATATTATTGATAACAAATTTCGTTTTTGTATAGGCAAAATTTTGAGTAAAAATATCCATTTCAGTGACATTTGATGATAATCAACGCAATGTCTTCATTCGTATATAAGATGAAAATCGATGGATGAAACACATAAGAAATTTGCATCAGAAGCACAGTAAAAGTTGAATAATTACAACTAAAATATAGTAAACTCTAAAGAGTTATGGAATTGTCGATTCATTCAGTTACGTCTTCTATTCCACACTTACTAAGATCTTAGCGAGCTTATGTCCAATTGTGCTGAACTGTTGACGTATAGATGTAGATCAAAAGTATTTGGCATTCCTCGTTTGCCACGCATCAGAATTTTTATTTTGTTTTCCTCTGAAACCCATTGAACATAATTCTGTGATTAGAAGACTAATTGAATATAATAGATAATATTAGTACGACATTTCTAAAAAGTTGCTAATTGTTGTACACCCGTCTAGAATTTTCTACGAACAGTTTGTAAGAATTTTTATTTGTATAACTCATTTTCATGTAGCCGTTACCTTGCAATATGTTTTCAACTCAAATAGTACATATAATGCAACTCAATTTTTGTTAATTTTAATATTTCTTACCAACTTCGACCATCAATATGCTGAAAACATGATAATTGTTCAAGATTTTATTGAACATTTCAAATCGCTATTTTGTTAATTTCAATAATGCCAGATCGAACAGATTCATCATCAACGAATTATAACAATCATAAGTTTGGGCATCAAGTTTTCTCAATCTGAATAGTAAAACATAATCTTATGCAACTGTTAAATTTTTTTAACATAATTTTTTTATATACCGACAATACGCGACATTAACAGTTGACATAGCTTGTTATTTATTCAGTTCATAAAAATCATTTTTCGAATAATATACTGTTAGTAAAAAATAGATTTAATTCCAAAACTTATCTTTTAACTTAAATGAAATAGAAAAAATGATTAATTTACAGCTATATTGAATCATTTAGACGTACCATGTGGAAGATTTATCCGCTTACGTGTAACAGATGAAGAAAGAGGAATGTCTTATACAAATTCATTGTACAGTGATACCGATCATAGTTGTGTAATATGGTCCAAATTTAATCTTTTGATACCAGTTTGTATTGTACATTTGTCGATAATTTCAACGAACATATACAGAAATAATATTATTGAAAAATTTTTAAATCGATGAATCGTGACAACATTGTTTAATTTTGTATTTTAAATTAACAAATAATGAGAACAGATCGAACGATGTTAAGTGTAAAAGAATTTTCAATGGGATAATCTCGAACAATATCGACAACATGATTAATCTAAAATTAAAGCATAATTGTTATAATCTTAAATTCTTCGACTACTGCTAACAACCACTAGAGATGTCAGGATGAGCGCGCCATTTGTGGTCTATTAAGAACTATGTGTACTACGAAGTGTCAAAAAAAAGGTGGTTTTTAGAGTGATGGAGATATTCGTCTCTCTTCAAATGAACAGCATCATTCATTGTTTACTGATTTTATTTAAGTTTAGAGGTTTCGACAAAGAAAAATAGAAAAAAAATTAAATAATGACTTCTAACAGATAATTTTTAGTCGCTCTTGTAAGTGATAATAAATAATTGAGCATATCAAATGAAGTTCAAATGAGGATTATCGATATCAAAAGTGGGACATTATAAAAGTAAAATTAACTTTGTTGAACTGATTTCTTGAATTTCATCATAGTAAATTTACACAAACAAGACACGCACTTAAGTACACAGAAATGAACACTATCTCAAGCAAATTATCCTGTTTATACAGTTTTTATAAATTCTACTATTATATTGAAAAATAAAAAAAAGAAACTAACTAGAGTTACGAGGTGAAAGGATACATAGTGCTCTCATTAACTACGGCTGTTTAGCTTTTGCGAAAACTGAAACAAATATTCAGATCGGACTACTCACAAAAAGTGGGGCATCTGGCACCTCGTAGAGGAATTATCAAGAGATGGCGCTAGTGTGCACCCGAAATTCAGCTTAGTGCCATACGGAGCTAGGACCAAAATGAGCATCTTTGAAATATTTTTATCCTTTACTGAAAAAACTCACATTTAAAACTGTTCTACACACCAAACAAAAGTATCATAAAATATTGTTTAGTACTTTGATACTACCCTTAGTCCAATTCCTTTGACGAAGTCCCCAGTGAATCCCCGAAATCCCTAGGGAGTTCTCAGGAATTTCCTGTAATATCCCTGGTGACTCCCTGATTTTCAGGAAGTGAAGAGAAATAATGAAATTCCTGGTGATTCACAGATGGCTCTCTGGTGATTTCTTAGGGAGAATATACAATATATTCACCGTTTTGTTTTGCATCTGCAGAAGTATATAAAACGTAAAAATTTAAACAGAAACTACTCTTTTCTTTAGATTAATTTCTTTCGTTTTTAGATAAGTGTAGCTGCTTCCACCTGAGACTCGTCGGCGTTAACTCGTCGTTTTGACATGAGTTAACTTTTCAGCCGAGTGACTCCTCCACTGGATGGCTCTGATGAGAAAGAATTTTGGAAAGAAAGTGGTAGTTTTTCTTATATAAAATAAATTTCAATTTGATCGATGGAAAAAAAGTCAAATTACGCTTAAAATTGAGCACAGAAGGCAAATTCAGCATTTATTCATTTTTGGGAACTCTCAGAGAAATCCCTGGGGTCTCCCTTGTAACTCCCTGCGGAGTCCATATCGTGATTCCCTGGAGTTTTCCAGGAAAAGCGGACTAGGGACGCCTTAAAAACTTTATCTTCTATATTTCTGAAAATAAATACACTGGTATATCAAAACAGATTTCATTTAGATTTTATGAAACTATACATATAATCTATAATTCTGAGCGAAACCAATATTCAACAGAATTTTTGCGAACAATGGTATAGTAGTGATGCATCATAACGACAGAACACCGTCAGATACAACCGTGTAATAACTATGAACTAACAGTTCATTATATCTAGTGGTAGTAGCAGCGTCTATCCCTACCTAAGCATTTGAGGTCTTTTGTACCACCTCAAAGGTTCGAACCTTAAGTGTACTACCTGGAAAATGATTTTTATAGCAGAAAAGTGTTCCACCTACTTTTGTTGAAGGCATTGTGCCTCAAACGTCTCACAGGATAGACGCCTCTGAGTAGTGGTGACACCGCTAAATATTTTTACTCAGTTTTTTTCCAACAGATTTATAGCGAATGTTTAATTGACCGTCTATTTTTAAGCAAACTTTTTGAAAAAAATTCTGAAACAGTCACCACTACTTATAGCTAGATCGAAATTTTTGATCAAGATTAATTAAAATGAAAATGACACTGACACGTTCTATGGATGAATGTTGACGGTGTCAGTGTTATTTTCATTGTTGCTGATCGTAGCCGAAATTTTTCTGACGAATAATCCATACAACAGAACTTTTCATTCTCAGTCTAAATGACGCTTAACTTCAGTATTACTCTTCGTTACGTAGTGAGAATATTTTTGTCATTTGAATGAACTGTAATCAACCTCCACCTACCGTTTTTTATAAGTACATCCAACTTTACCTTATTTTTTTTAAATGCTATTAGGCTGTCAAGGATGCTGGAAAGTCCCCCTACATATAGGACAAATCCAGTGCAAGTTGACGTATTGCTACTTAATTTTCAAATATTTTTTATAATAAATTTACCTTTGCACTCAGTAATGTGAAAATAAAAGCACCAGCAGTAAGAGTGAGTAAAAGCTACCAAAATTTCAAAATGGTGTGTTGACAAATAACTTACATAATGCATTTTATATCTGTTGTGCATGGAACGGACCATCAAGTCAACAAAACTTACATTCAACGGTTTTTCTCAAATGCGCTCAAAAATTCAAACTGATCATGCAAAGAAATGTAGAATTACAAGCTAAGAGTATATTCCACCGAACATAAAGAGCAAAAGAGATGGTTGAATTACCGTTTCATATTTGTTTTTTAACTATATAAAAATAGACTAGACGTTTTATATTAACAATCACAGTGACATCAATAAGACAAATACAAAAAAATTACAATACTAAAATATACACAGGAAAATATTTGAAATTTGATTTTTTTCATTGTTGTATTGGTAAACGGTCGAAAAACATCATTAGATTGCATTATTGCTGTATTTATTAATAGTATGATCAATGGTTCGATCATTTTCATTATTATCTCTGAAAAAAATTAATATGTTTAAAAAATTAAATGTGAATGATGTGGATTGTTCATATCCTTTCCGCAAGCGGGAAAAGACAGTTCCGTAATTTCATCAGAATCGGGTAGTTCTATAAGGATCCCAGGACTTATATGCTAATCTATATGTAAAGAATTTTTAATGATGGAAAGAAGCAAGGAAAGAAAAAAGTACACACACTAGATGTGGACGAAAATCAACTAATAAAGTCAAACACAAAATAATACCGAAGTCTAAAAGGTTCGATTTGATCCTTGTTATACGATTGTCGTAAGAGAATGAGATCCATATATAATGTCAAGCTAGCATCTCCGAACCACAGGCGGATCCTGTTTTTAGTCAT